CACTCATTCCTAGGTATTTATTGAATGTTTACTATGTACCAAGACTGTGTCTCTAAGTAAATTGGTCTCATGCGGGTATTCGGGGCAAGACTGCTTACTAGACAGAAAGAAAGATTTCAATCTGATATCAGTGTAGAGAGAGGTGTGTCGTAATGCCCTTAATATATTTATTGCTAAACTCCTTTACCCATTTGAAATGCAGGTTATAAGGACACTTCACTCCTTGGCCCAGCTCTGCAGACCCCACAACACTAGGATTGTGGTTATCATGCCCATCAGGGACTTGCAGCCTAATGCACCTTACACATTCCCTTGGGAGAAGTGGCACTTTTGGAGGATTACTGATGGATGTGCAACCCGATCATGAGCCTAAGTTTGCACTCACATAACCAGATGCTCTCCGGAACATTCTTCGGTCTTGCACTCTGCTCTGCTTGTATCCCCTTGGGCATACAAACCATCTCTTCTTTGGGGTTTGCCCAAGAGAAGCGGTTCACAGGAAAGCAGAGGGAGCAATGAGGATTGTTGACCTTGGAGGGAGAAGGGAAAAGAGCTTCCACCACCCATTCCCCGATATATCTCAAAGACATTTCACCTTGGCCACCAAGGGATCACCTTCCGCCTTTCCGCCCCCCTGCCCCCCGCCACAGCGCCTGCCAGGTCTACCTCCTCCCTTCTCCACCTCATTCCTAACACACACTTCAAAAAATCTTCTGCCCTGTACTATATCAGAGCAAGACTGCAGGCATTTTCTCATCCTGAACATCCCCACCAGCCCCTTTTTACCTCATCAGAACATTTCTTCTGCATGCATGACAGAAGGCGCTGCCTGAAATGGCTTCTGGTGAATTCCATTTCCTCTGGCTTACCATGTTTGGATCAAGTCAGATCAACAGAACACTACGGTGGGCTCCAGGGTCTGTCCCTCCCCACCCCACGCCACTATAGTTGGAGAATATGTAGTGTTTCGTGCTGCCGGAGAGGTTGATTGCGTCGCCAGTGAATCCCCGAGTGCTCAGCTACCTTGGGGAAGGTCATAAGAAACACCTGTCTGCAGCTTAACACCTTACTATAAAATAGTATAAGGCCGTGGTCATCACATGAGAAAACATTTTTTTTCAGGAGGACTCAAAAGGTGGATTTCTTTCTGTACCCCAGAAAAACTAGTCTGTGTCTTCTGTCATATGGACACTGTGAATTAGGTCACAGATTAGGTTCCCTCACACTCTTGCCAGCTAGAAAGCTCTGAGAAGAATTGTGGTCCAACTTGAGAATGGTATAAAATTTCACAGAATAGTCTTGATACCAACCATACTCCTGATTTCATCTTTCTGCTGTGTTCCTCCTTGACCCTATTCACTCGTGCATATTTTTATTTTATTTATTATATTTCTCAAACGCCTTTAACATGGAGAGAGAAATGCATTTAAAATTACAAAGACACAACAAGTTTATTTCTCCCACGTACATTGGTACGTGGTACATTGGTGCTGCTGGCAAGTGGCCTTGGTTCATATGCACTTCCATGATGCTGGGGATTCAGATGTCTGCCATTGTGTGCAGCTCCATCCATTCCACAGGTACTGCCATATCTGCGTGGTCCAAAAATGCCCACCAGCCTCTCTCCTGGGCCTTCTTCCAGCCAGCCCAAGGGAAGGAACACGGCGAGTGACAGCATGGCCGCCTCCTTTAAGGGGCACGTCTCTGGAGTGGGCACTGGTACTCACATTCTGTCCACTGGACTAGGTTCCATGACCAAGACCTAACTGTAAAGGAGGTTGGGAATTCTGTCTTTCTTCAGGTCAGCAATGGACCCATGTAAACTCTGGGGTTCTATAACTCAAGAAAGAAGTGGATAAAGGAAAGGAAATGCGTTAACTAATAGTCTTACCCTTCGTACTGTGAGATACTAGAAACTGTGAGGTACTAGAAAATGGTGTCTGCCCCTGGACCCTGGCACAGAGCTCCTGACACCCTCGTAGTTTCCTAAGTGATAACAATGCTAATATTTGTCCTTGACCCCATCCCTGACACAGCGCTCCCCAAACCCTTGTAGACGCCTAAGTGAGAAGGGCACTAGGAGCATCTTTATTTGATGGAGGTGACTCTGGGTGGGCTCCCGGGTGACAGCTGATCACGAGAAAGACCAAGCCATGATTAGAAGCTCCTCCCCCACCAAACCAATCTCCAGAGAGGGGAGAGTGGCTTGAAATGGAGTTAATGGTGAGTCACGACTAGGTGAGGAAGTGTCCACAAAAATCCCAGTGGTATGGACTTCGGAGAGCTTCCAGTCCTGGTAAAGACATCCACGCTGTGATGGAGAGGGGACAGTGGCCCACCCCACCTCCACAGGTACAGAAACTCCATGCTCGGGACCCTCCCAGACCGCACCCTATGCATCTCTTCATCTGGGTATTCATCGGTGTCCTTTATCATTTCCTTATTAAAGTGGCAAATGTGTTTCCCTGAGCTCTGTGAGCTGCTCTAGAAAATTAATGTAACTCAAAGTGGGACTCATGGGAAGCTCCGCTTTACAGCCAAGTCAGATATAAGCAGTGGGTAACCTGGGACCTGCGACTTGTGAATGGCATCTAAAGTAGGTGGGAACAGTATTGTGGCGTTGAGTTCCTAACCTGTAGGATCTGGCACTATCTGTGGGCGGATAGTGTCGCGACTTGAATGAAATGTTGGACACCCAGTTGCTGTCACAGAGAACTGCTTGATGTGGGAAACCCTCCCCACATCCGGTGACCAAAAGTGTCACAAGTGAAGCGTTCTATGTCAATGTAAAGGGGGCACAATAGGAAAGAAGTACAGAGGAAGGGAAAGCAGGGTGGTTTTTCTTATGTACTTACTTACCTTATAGTTTCAGAAGAATTCTGGAAGAGAGAAGGTAGGAAGGTAGGAGACCAACAGTGTACATCCATACCAGAAACTTGGAAGTTAGGAGTGTAGTGGGATGACCTGGCGGAAACCAAGCTCTGTGTTGTGTCCACAGAGGGGAGGCGAGGGTTTCTGGGCTCGATTTGGGTTTGGATGGGCCTGTGCTCCACATGCTGCCTGCTCTTCCACTGTGAAGGGCTGTTTGCCGGGAGGCTAGGGCTGACCCCTCCCCACGCTGGGCAGGCTTCCGGCTGCATTAGTCGGACTCCACTGGCCCTGGGGCTGTTTGAAGTGAAACAAAGGGGGCCTGGGAAAGGGGCAGATGTGGGACTCATCTTTCAGGTGTGTGCTAAGGCAGGTCTGCACCCCTTGCAGACAGGAACATTCTTCTCAGGGTGCCTAAGCGGCTAGCTGGTTGAGCATCTGACTCTTGATTTTAGCTCATGATTTCACAGTTTGTGGGATGGAAAACCTATGTCAGGCTCTGCACTGACAGCTCTCTCTCTGCCCCTCCCCCACTCACACACAAGCACACTCACACACAAGCACACTCACGCCCTCTCTTTCTCTCTCTCTCAAAATTAATAAATGAACTTAAAATAAGTTCGAGGGGGAGAAGGTCTTCTCTTAGGGAAGTGGTTCTCTGCCATCAATTATCACGATCAGTTTTCCAGGGAGGGAACAGAGTCCAAGAGACTTAGGCTGAGGTGAACAGTACGCTTCTTCCCTTCTGTGGGCACGAGTATTGAGAGCACAGTCCCGGGGGTGGGGTGAGCTGGCCCTGCTGCAAGCAGGCAGGTGGGAATGGGTATGACTGCCTTCCATGGGGCCTATGCTTCAGGGCTGTGGGTCTGGGCTTCAGGGTTCTGAGTCGGCTCATGGAGTAAGAGTTGTCAGTTTTTCCTGACCCTCTAAGAAGCCCCCATGAGAAGTTACAGCCTCATGGCCGTGGTACATGGGGCGTCGAGAGAAGGGCCCACTTCCTGCTTGGGGTAGAGGGGACATGTGGAGGTAGAGGACCCCCATCCCAAGATGGGAGCAGTATCCAGGGAAGTAGCTCCCCCAGACCACAGCATCTAAGGCCTGACAAAGAGCAAACCCAAGTAGGCCTGGCCCCCAGCAATGGAGGGAGTCAGGGACTCGATCCTGAGGGGATTTCAGAGGGATCGATTTCTCTGTAGGCACAGGGGGCTTCAGGGTCCTCCTCACTCGGAAACTAGGGGGAACGCAAATTCAAGCAGCCTCGTAACCTTGGGCAGGTAAATGTCTCTGTCTCAATTTCCTTGTTTATAAATAGGGACAAAAATTGTTGGGCTAATGAACGGATTAAATAGAATAAACACCTCCATGCCTTCCGGTTAGTACTCAGTGAGTTAGTGCTTCTCACTACTATTACCATTCACTGGGGGAGTCTGGGCGGGCCTTCTGCAAAAGCGTATCCTGAATGGAAGAGAAGTCTTAATGGAAGGAAGCCAGGCAAGGGGACCTTCCTTTGAGGGAGGGAGACAGATTTCCCAGGCCCTGGGGGACAGACTTGGCGAAAGCGGGAAGGTTGACGCTCCCAGGTGAGCAGGGGCTGGGCCAGGACATACCCGGCATGGCCAGGGACCATGCAGGGAGAGGAGGGGAACTTCAGAGGGGCAGAGCCGGGTCGGGGTCGAGGCGTGGAATGCCAAGCGGAGCGCCAAGTGGGGTAAACCGAGGCCACAGCAGGTAAGTAGAGGTGTAATGTTTGTGACCTCAGGGGTGAGGGTGCAGAAGGCGGGGCCCCAGAGTCCTGTGGGGTGAGACGAGCAAGCACGAACTAAGTGGAAGGCTGAGCAGGCGAGGCAGGGCCAGTCCCATCCAGGGAGGCTGCTGCGACCCAGGAGACAGAGCTGTGTCACAGTGCGAGGCTGTCCTGCTTCCTCTGCTCTGCATGTCCCAGGGATCACCCCACAAATATCTCACACACGTAGCTTCATCTCAGCACCGGCTTCGCGGGCTGGAGCTGACGCACCACACTGTTTCCTCCTGTACCTCTCCCCAGGACGCCTTCCCTGGGCAATGCCACCCGAGTGTCAGCACTTGCAGGGCCACCAGGGGAACCCACAGACGAAGTGGAGCAACACAGGAGCCCTGCTGCCACCGGTCAGAACGTGTATTCACCTTGGGGCCACTTTCTCAGCAAACAAAGGCCACTGTGATTGGGCAGGGGTGGGGCTGTCCCAGCAGGGACAGCGGGTGTGGACAGGAGGGTTTCCACCAGTGCCTCACGTGGGTGCTGTGCTCTCGGAGGGGGGTGAGAGGCCGGGATCTCCGGAGGGGCAGCCTAGGCCTCCCCCTGAGAACGCAGGCCCCATAGTGGAGGGCGAGGACACGTCGTAGAGAGGGGGGCGATCTTCAGGAGACCTTTCCTCAGTACTCAAAAGTAACTGTCTTCAGCCGCAGGTACTCGTTCAGGGCCGCCTCTCCTGCAAGACACCACGTGCCATTGGGAAACGTCATCCTCACAGCAGCGCCTACGGCGGGCCCCACACTGTGCTGAGCGCTGTCGTCACACAGAATCCCGCACCAACCAGGTGGCGTCAGCTTAGGCTCAGCCCCAGTTACAGACGAGAAGCTGAGGCCCTGGGGGTCAGGCATCAGTTGCGTGGGTACGGGGTGGTGAGGATTCCACTGCAGGCATCAGAATAGAGACCAATCTGGGGCAACTCTTCCAGAAGCTTCCCTGCTCTGACTACCTCCTCTCGAGGGATGGCAGTTCCATCAGCCCGAGGGCCACCAAGAGGCTCTTTTGGGGCCCTTACTAACCAGAGGTGCCAGCCCCTCGCCTGTCCCCAGGGCTGCACCCCCCCCCCACCCCCCCAGCTAATCCCAGGTCATACCATTACTAGAAAAGGGAACTCACAGGCACCCAGAAGCTGGCTGTGCTCTGCAGCCGGTGTTTGGCCCCGCAACCAGCATGTCGGTCCTGACGCGTGGTTGCCTGACATCTCCCCCACCCTTTAAGGTTCGCTCCAGGAGCCACAGCTCACCAGCCAGGGCCAGCTGAGGTCTCTGGGCCCAGCCCTGATGCGCTGCTGGGGAGGCCTGGCTTACGTGCACAGGCCACTGGGGATGAGGTGGCAGCAGACAGGATGAGCTCGAGGAGCGCGGGGGCATAGCCTTAAGTGACAGAGAGCAGATCTGGGGACTTGGCGCCCACAGCCCCCTGGATGACGATTTGCACATTTCCGTGGAGGACACCAGGGAGAGGGGGCAGAAAGAGGTGGCAGACAAGGGCCAAAGGAGCGGGACTGTCCGACATCACGCCCGTGCGGGTGCGAGTGGGCAAGCCCCGCCCTCTGTGCGCACGGTGTGCTCCCAGGCTTTGGGGGTGTTGTGGGGGCTCCTTTTACGTGCACCTTTTGGGCTTCCCGCAGGGTGTGAAGGGGGAGAGCAAACGAAATAGCAACCACCTCCCCGAGGATCCCGAGCTGGGTTCAGGGATGGAGGCTCCGGGAGACAGCTTGCCCCCCTCGCCCCTGCTGAGCCTCAGAGGTGGGGCCCCCAAGTGGAGCCAGTGTCCGACTGCCGGACTCCGCAGTGGCAGGACGGGGAGAGTGGCCCTGGTCCTAAATCACGCAGCAGCCCAGGGCAGGAGTGCCTGGCCAGACCGCCACTTCCCCCCGCAGGCCAGGGGGGTTGCACGTGGCTGGCCGCTTGGGTGACACTGTCTCCACACTGGGGACTCACACTGCCCCATCGGCCTCCACACTCGGCCTCCATGGCTGCCCCTGACTCTGCGGACGAAGCTCTGACTGTGCCGGCCGGGACCCCGCTCTCCGGGCCTCTGCCAGCCTCCCTAGCCTCCGCTCCTCCGGTCCTTCCTGTCCCTGCACTCAGGCGCTTCTCTGCAGCCCCAAGACCAAAGCTGGTGTCTCAGGACCCATTGTCCCCTCTGCCCCCTCGGCCCCCTCAAGGTCTCTATCCTGCCTCCCCCAGGCACTGGTGTCTCCGCGCCGGCGCCGCCTGCTGGTAGAGGCCCATCCTGGCCCCGCTGGCCACCTTCCCAGTCTCCCTGGCCAGATCACTCTGTCCCGTCTGCCTCCTGCACGCCTCACGCTCTAGCAGGATCTAGCCCGCATTCTCGCCTGTCCCCTCCCGGGAAGAGGAGAGCCCTGGCAGCCATCTCGTCCACGCTACACCCCCGGCCCCCAGGACCGGCCCGGCACCACGGGGCCTTACGGGTGCTCAGGGTTGGGTTACCGAGGTCTTTGCCGAAGCCCGACTGCTTGAAGCCTCCGAAGGGAGCGGCCACGTCGGTCTTGTTGTACGTGTTCACGAACACGGTGCCCGCCTCCAGCTTGTCGCTGACATACAAGGCCTTGCTGATGTCCCTGGTGAAGACGCCAGAGGCCAGGCCAAATTCTGTCGCGTTGGCCCGAGACAGCACGGCGTCCACATCGCTGCAGGGAAAACCCAGGAAGAGCTCTGTGAGGGGGGTCACGGGGCCACCCGGGGCGTGGGATGCAGGCAGACCTACGCCCTCCTCCGGGGTGCGGGACCCTCTGAAGAAATGTGCTGGGAGGTGGGGCAGCTGAGGGAAGAGGAAAGGAAGACAGGGAGGAGGCAGAGCAGAGCAGAGCACCCTGGTCATCACGGGCGAGCCCCTCATTTACAGACGGGGGGACGGCGCAGGCTGGAGCCGCATCGCACACGGAAAGGCACACCAGTCAGGCGTTCCTCACGGAGCTGCCCTGGGGGGATCCCCACCACAGACGGGGTGGGCTGGAAGACTCAGCACAGCATTTGCTTCGTAGACAGTGGAAAAGTGTCTCATTCTAACACAGCACGTGAAGATCAGTTTGATAATTCTTTGGCCGTGGGAAGTAGAGTGTATCGAGGATGAGGTGCCATTCTAGAATCTTCTCAGAGGTGCTACTCTGAAAACTAATAGTCAGGAAAAGAGCCTGTGGCCTTGGTCACTTGCTGGGCCAACAGGAGAGGGGAAATGAGGTTCCGGGGTTTCTGAGGCTGACTGACAGTTCTTGGGGAGGCTTGCATCTTCCGCCAGGCCGCTCTGGGCGAGCTGGGTACGGGCAGCCGCTGCCGTGCCACGGAAAGCCCAGGGGGAGGCCCTGACCTGGAGGCAGACGTGGCCAGCCCCATCGGACGCTAACCAAATTGAAGATTCACAAGTGAATTGAGTAACTTGTTACTCTAAGCCACTGGGGTTTGGGATGCTTTATTACATAGCAGCAGATAATGAGAACAGGACCCAACATGCTGTGAGAGGCATCAGAGACACAAAGGGGATGCTCTCAGTTGGACCCAGCCCTCCGGGACTTCCTGGGGCTCTCCTAACTTCAGTGGTTGACAAGGACTGGGCAGGCGAGGCTAGGCTGCGTCCAGAGCCCCCCCCCCCACCTGAATTCTCCTTCCGACCACCCCCACCCCCCGACCCAAAGTTCAAGGGACGAGCCCAGCAAGGCATGGAAGAAGATCGAGTTTCCAAGAGACATAAGCAGGACTCCCTACCCATCAGCAAACCGAGAGATGATCATGATGGGCCCAAAGGACTCCTCCTTGGCTATGAACATGTGGTCCTCCACATCCGTAAAAACAGTCGGCTCAAAGAAGAAACCTAAGGGAGAGACAGAGGTCCGTGGCCGCGGTGTGTAGGAGGGTGGCCCTCTCCCAGGCCGGGCCTGGGTCCCGCCGGCCACAGGCACACATTCTTGCTCTGGCACTGCAATTTGTGACGCCTGTGTGGTGGCGGGCACATTCTGGGGGTGCCTTTCCTGCCCCAGGCATAGAAGTCCACAGGATCCTTACGACCCTTTCAACTAAACGCTGCTGAGGGAAATGAGGCTAATGCTCGGCGTTGGTCTGTGATGGAGCAGCGAATCTTTACCTAGCGTAGCCCCTCGGGTGGCTTTCCATCGGGCCCTGTGGTGTAGGTGGAGGAGGAGGAGATTGGACCCGAGTTCCGATGGACAAGATCTCCCAGGACTGCGTCCATCTCCTTACGGGCACCTCAGTGTGGGAGCTGGTGCCCCAGGCACAGGGGTGAGTGCACGTGCTCTCCTGTCAACACAGGCCGACCACCTACTCCCATCCAGACCGCCGCCCCTACAGGCCCTGGTTCTAGACGGAACCACCTCTGAGAGCAGAAATGCTTCCTCTATTTCTCCTCTGGACACAGAGCCCAGGGGCCCAAGACCCTCAGAACTGAGGTTTCGTTTAGCCTGAATTTCATAAGGGAAAATTGAGAGATGTGAAATTTTCTCTTTCTGGTTTTCAGAAAAACAAAAAGAGATTAACTTTAAAAGTAACTTAAATAAAATACTCCATGTTTTTCATACATTTGTAAATTATATCTTAATATTAATTACAATGTTTAAAACCGACGTTAGGTATGAGGGGCGCCTGGGTAGCTCAGTTGGTTAAGCGTCTGACTTTGGCTCAGGTCATGATCTCGTGGTTCATGAGTTCGAGCACTGAGTTGGGCTCTGTGCTGACAGCTCGGAGCCTGGAGCCTGCTTCAGGTTCTGTGTCTCCCTCTCTCTCTGCCCCTCCCCCACTTGCACTATCTCTCTTCCTCTCTCTCTCTCAAAAATAAATAAGCATTAAAAAAAAAAAAGTTAGGTATGAACACACATTTTGGCTCATGTGGGGGGGCTGTATTCACTCAATCAGCAAATGAACTATTGCTCGCCAGGAGCTGGAGGCTCTGGGCTGGCCTGGCTCTGTCCCTTTCCCGTTCCTTCCATACTCTTCTCTGGCCCTCTGGGTCCCATGAGGGACACTGTATGCCGATGCTCCCTCCTCTTCTGGCTTCCAGTAGAGTTCATACTCCACAGCTCTGCCCCTCACCAGAGTCTGTGAATCCGGCCAGGGGGTGGAGATGGTGGCCCGGCTTCTGGGTAATGCACCCACCCCAACTGCTCTGCAAACCATGCCTTCCGTTCACTCTCTCCCATCAGCCCCCCAACTCTGGCCCCAGGGAGCCCCTAGTCTACTGGAGGCAGAGAAGGGAGTGAGCAGAGAGTGGCAGTCAGTGCCTATAAAACTATCACTGTATGAGATGGCAGGGAACAGCTGTGACACAGGAACATATATGGTCTGGGTCTATGTTATTGGAGCTGGTTGATGACTTCACCAGGTGAGGAAATGGGAGCTAGTTGCTCGTCGGAGGAGCAGCAAACGCACAGGGAGCAAGGACAGGTGGGATGTGCTCGGAGAGAGTATAAAATGGCTGGAGCATGTGTCATTGGCAAGCAAGTTAGAAACAGATCATGCAAGACCCTGGGTGTGAAGTGAGGAGTCTGAGCTTGTCACTGCAGGGAGACGGGTCACTGTAGAAATTGCTTCAATGTTGGGGAAGATACGAGCAGACTTCCAGCAGCTATGTGAGTAAAGGGCTAGCGTGGTACAAGAGGTCTCTCGGGAAGCAGACGTGAGGTCCAGGCAAGACAAGCTGGGGAGCGTTCGCAGGATGGCAGCAGGGATGTGGGCGGGCAAGAAAGACTTTTTATTTAAGAGAATCAGGCAATTTATTTAGGGTACAGGGTCAAAGGAAGAGAGGAGTCTAAAATTCATTGTTTCATTCCCTCCTTCAATCCATCAAATTAACTCAGGTTTGTTATGAGTCTCAGGGCTGGCATGAAGGACCTAATGGTGTAGACAGAGACAGACACAGTGCCTTTCCCCATGTAGCGGGTAGTCTAACGAGGAAGCAGTTCGAATAGTCCATGCCGCACCTCCTGCTCCTCTGGCTCCAGTGACTTGATCACATGGAAGATTCTAGAGAGGCAGGTGTATGCCTGGGGCAGGTTGGTGCTGGGGGACACTCAGACGATGTGGCGGATTTGTTACCCATTCAGTGTAAAGGGGCCGTGGACATGCAGGCGGAGGTGTCCAGGTGGGCAGGATTTCTGGGTGAGGAGGAGCCCGGAGACAGGTATTTGGGAGGGTCCGAGCCACTGCAGGGATTGGGGTCCTGCATGGAAAGCGTCTGCCGTAAGAAGCACTCCAAGCTCAGGAGAGACTTGGAGCACACCTCCACTTAAGGGACAGGAGGCGAGGGGGGTTCAGCGAAGAGTGGCCGCTGAGAAGTAACGCCCGAGATACAAAGCCATGAAGCCAGGGCCATGGAATCCACAGGGGGAGAGAAAATCAACGGTGCGGAGAGGTTTATGGCAAATCAAAGTCCACCATGATACACATTAAACCAGCACTGACTGGATCTCAGCTTTGGGGTCTTCACCTTGCCAGTACCACGTCTGGTCTGACAGGTGTCCAGGGAGCCGAGGCCACGCCATCCAGTGTCCCAGATGGGCCCTGGGTCCTGGGGGCCTAACTGTGGCCTTCACCTGCCTCCGATTACAAGTAGACAGGAAACCAGAGGCCACGCTACTGGCCTTTCAGTTCACCCGAGGGGAGTGCCCCGACTGACCTGGCCGCGGGACTTGACTCCCACCGCAGACCAACGTGGCCCCTTCCTCCACGCCACGCTGGCAGTACTCTATCAGCTTCCGTAGGTGGGCTCGGTGGTTCTGCGGTCCATGGTTGGTGTCCCGGTCTAGAGGGTTACCGATCTTCATCTTCTTCACCTCTTCTACCTGCGGAGAGGTTCTCCCTCAGGTCCTGCTCAGGGACCGCAGCTCCTGACAACGCTCCAAACCTGACCCACCGACACGTTTGCATCTGGCCACCGGCCACTGGCCCCTGAAGAGATTCCACACGCCCTCGGGATGTTCCATATTCTGGTTCCAAACCTGCTTTCCAGGCGGAAACCCAAGACGTGTCCTATGTGCAAGGAGACCCGAGCGTAGCATCAGCTGGGAAAACGGAGGTGTCCAGGGACAAGGATGAGGGCTGGGCATGGGGTTGGGGGTGGCGCCAGCAGCGTCTGGTCCTGCAGCGTCTACACCGGTCCTGCGCCCAGCTTCACAGGCTGAGAAGCTGAAGGAACGTTTCTCTGGGGACTCCAGAAACGGGATGGGCATGGGGCCGGGAAATACCAGGCCTGCTGCGATGCCCCAGTGGTAAGAGTGGAGCAGAGGGGCCTGGGCCTTGAGTTCACCCACTCCTGCTCCCAATTCTGCCCGCTTCAGGGCCGAGCTTCAAGGCCTCCTCCTTCCAGGAAGCCTTCCCTGTTGCCTCAACCAACCCAAAAGTAGGTCTAGGCTTTGGTGCCCGGAGACCAAAGTCTGGGTCTCCTCAAAGGATGTGCCAGATGGTGTCTGCTGGATTCTGGGGCTGAGCGCAGAGAGTCAGAAAACCCCCTGAGTGGGGCGCCTGGGTGGCTTAGTCGGTTGAGCGTCTGACTTTCGCTCAGGTCGTGATCTCGCGGTTCGTGGGTTCGAGCCCCGCGTCGGGCTCTGTGCTGACTGACAGCTCGGAGCCTGGAGCCTGTTTCCGTCTGTGACTCCCTCTCTCTCTGACCCTCCCCTGCTCACGCTGTCTCTCTCTCTCTCTCTCTCCTAGAAATAAATAAAACGTTAAAAAAAAAAAAAAGCCCCTGAGTATGGGGTACTGTGCTATGAAACAGAACTCAGACGGCATAACCAGTGGGGTGTAGACATCAGAACTTCTGGGCTCCAGGCTAGGATCCACCCCTTCCAATTTTCTCTCTCCGGGCTCTTTCTCTGGTTTCCTAAAACCAAACAAGGTCATCTACACCCTCACTGTGGCCACATCAAGGTCAGGCCTGACTGGCCATCTCCTCTTCCTCCGTGGCAAGGGCTACTTCACCCCTCCACTCGGGCTCTGCACACGTGCCCCAGCCAGGCCTAATCGGGTGCAGCAGACACTCAAGCCCCCGCGGACCACCCTCTTGCCCTTTCACCAAGAACTCCGCTCCTGCCTGGCCACCCTCCACCTTGTCTCCCTAGGACACCAAGAGCAACAGTGCTGATGTCCTGGGTGCACTTCCCTCTTGCTGTATTTGACGATCCTGACAGTTATCCTGGGATTCTGACCCCTGCCCTCACCCTGGGGGGTTTCACAACTCCCTTGCTGACTCCAGAAGGGCTGTGCTCCCAATAACTCAGTGAGCCACCCCCTCCATCATGACTGTCCATCTGTGCCCCAGGTTCAGCTCTTCCTGTGCTGGGCTTGTTCCAGTGAAGGACTTGGTCGGCCAGGCTGCCCAGCTCCCAAATGACAGCGGGTCACACAGGTGGACGCCACCGTACACACTTCCCGTCCACAGCGGGTCACACGGGTGGGCGCCACCGTACACACTTCCCGTCCACAGCGGGTCACACGGGTGGACGCCCCTGTACACACTTCCCGTCCGCAGCGGGTCACACGGGTGGACGCCCCTGTACACACTTCCCGTCCGCAGCGGGTCACACGGGTGGACGCCACTGTACACACTTCCCCTCGGGGTGGAGCTGGTTTCCCACACCTTCAATCTGTGCTGGCCTGTGACTTGCTGTGGCAGGTACAGTGTGGCACCAGCAACCTTTGGGAGACCCGAAGGGGATCAAAACTCCTGCTCTCACTCTTGGGAGTCCTGACGCTGGCCCCGCATGTGCCCGAGCACACACCGTGGGACGAAGCAACACAAGGAAAAAGATAAGCCTTCCCAGTGCAGCCACCAGTGTCCCTGGCAGTGCAGACGCATGAGCCAACCTCAGGGGAGCCTGTGCCGGTGCCCACGGCGCCAACCCGCAGGACTGTGACTGCATGAACAGCTGTCACCACCAGCCACTAAGTTTTGGGAATAGCTTGTGACATGGAAAAAGCTGTTACGCTCCCTTCTAGAAGGTCTGTTCCTTTCCTCCCTGCCTTTCATATTTTTACGCATTATGCTAGACCCTCTCTGGGGGCTCCTGGGTGGCTCAGTTGGTTAAGCGTCTGACTTTCCATTTTGAACCAGGTAGTGGTCTCGCTGTTTGTGGGATCGAGCCCCATGTTGGGCTCTGCGCTGATGGCATGGAGCCCGCTTGGGAGTCTCTCTCTTTCCCTCTCTGTCTGTGCCTCTCCCACTCAAGCGCACGTGCACTCGCTCTCACTCTCTCTCTCTCAAAAAAAAAAAAAAAAAAAAGACCCTCTCTAGAGCTCATTCCTAACACCTGCCCTGCCTTGTCTCAGTCCTGCGCTCTCTTTTCTTCCCGGCTTTGTAAATACAGTTTGTTTAAACCCGCACTCAAGGGCTGTGTTCCAGCATCCCCTCTCTCACCCACTGTGATCAGACTCTCCTTTCCAGGATGTGGGGAAGGGCTCTCGGCTGAAGCTGAGCCGACCAGAGCCCCGTGGATCCCGCAGTCACTTAACGGACCAGGGATGGATCTGGGACCCAGTCACGCCAACCATCATCCTCCCCCACAGCCTTTTTTAAAAAAATATTTTATTTATTTTTGAGAGAGAAATAGAGACAGCATGAGCAAGGGAAGGTCAGAGAGAGAGGGAGACACAGAATCTGAAACAGGCTCCAGGCTCTGAGCTGTCAGTACAGAGCCCGACGCGGGGCTCGAACCCATGAACCGTGAGATCATGACCTGAGCTGAAGTCGGACGCTTAACCAACTGAGCCACCCAGGCGCCCCCCCCTCCCCCACAGCTTTTTCTAACAGTCAGTGGGGACGGGGCGATTTCCCCTCCGGTTCTATGCCCCATCCCTCAGCCTCTTACCTGTGGGCACCCGTCCCGCAGCAGCTGTGAGAAGTGGCTGCTGATGGTCCCAGGTCCCAGGGAGGACTCCCCTAGTCCATGGACACTCACAGCCGACAATTGTTGACAGGGGACGAAAGCCCGGCTCTGTGACCCCAGGGGTACACCTGTGCGTTGTCTTTCTTGCTCCAGAGCTCCTGTGTGTGGGTCAGGCTAGGGCTGCATGTCACTTGATCCCATGTCCCTCCTCCCAGGCTTCACCTGGGAGCTTGCCCTTCATGAGCCACGTGCGCCTGAATTCCGGGTTCAGGCATCACTGCTGGGGACCTGGCCTCGCCGAGGCCCTTTTTCGTTATGTCAGCCTGAGCTGCGGGGTTATTATTTCTTGCTGAAATAATAAGAACCGGTAAACATGATACGGCTTTGCCCGAGGGTTTCCTGGCTCGGATGAACAGTCCCAGACTCCACGTGGCCCAGCCCCGTCTTCCTGCCCCCAACCCCCTACAGCCCACATCTTCCCAAGTTCTACTCTCCAGCAGAACTTACCACCTTCTGCACAAAGAGGTCGTGGATCGAGTCCTCTACGAAAAGCCGGCCCGCGGCAATGCAGTTCTCGCCTTTGTTGAAGAAGACGGAGCTCATCCCCTTCAGAGAACGGACAAGGATGCTGGCTTGCAACCTCTCCCAAGGCACCAGTCCCCCGTTTCCCGTCGGCCCCAGGTACCCCCTTCCTATCGGGAAGGGGAGGAATGTGCATGTCCTGAACTTGGACGGGATGGTGGATCAGGCCCAGCCCGGGCTGGGCATACGGGCTCCGCTCATCCCTCTCGAGAGGAGAGAGGAGTCCCATCCCCTGGGGACACCTGTGTCCACATTGCAGAGAGTGGAGGACAAGAGGGAGTCGAGGGGTGAGCCTGGACACCCTCTATGCAGGCGTGCTCCCTGGGATGGTCCAGGAGGGGTCAGAGCTCACACTCTTGGGGCTGAGCCTGGAGGGTCTGGTAGCTTGGAGCAGGCAGCAGCCCCGTATCTTGGGAGGGACAGGGCACCAGCTCAGGCCTGAGAGAATTCCTGGCAGGGGTCCAGAATGACTGTCTTCAGAGGCTCAAGGGAGCCTCTATTTTGGACCTGGGGAGGCCTATGAGGGGGGCCGGGGGAGAAGGGTGAGCTTGACTGCTCTGGGTCAATCTTGGCTCTCATGGCAGCTGTGACTGCACCCCCAGTGACATGGCCTGGGCCGCTGGCCCTGAAGCCCTGGCCTTGACACCGCGGCCAAGACCCTTGGGCTGATGGACTTGCCTCCCTCAGTTTCCCTGTCTGAAGCTGCACGCCCTTTCATGTCCATGCTAGTGTCACAGTGTGCTCCAAGGCACAGTGAGACTTGGATGGAATGGGGTGTATTTAGGCACCTGGTTGAACATGGCCTTACTGGCTTGCTCTCAAATGTGTGCGGGGAGGCACTGAGGTGTAACAATGACAGTGACAATACGCACAACGGACACACAGCACCTGCCACATCTTCTAAGCCCTTCAGACTTAATAGCTTGTTGAATCCCTGTAACAACCAGAGATGTCGTCTCCCCATCGTACAGGTGAGACAGCGAGGCCCAGCAAGCTCGAGGAACTTGCCTGAGGCTGCCCAGTGAGTCAGTGGTATAGCTGGGCAAGCAGACACAGCAAAGAGGAAAGGTTTTCATGCTGATATCAGAACAGATGGAGACATGGCTAACGTTTCCCATCCTGTGAAGCTGATCTCGGTAATCCTGACAGTTGCGAAACTTCCCGGGAAGTTTGTTCTTCTGGAAGGCGTATGTCATTCTTTGTCCCCTAGGCCCCTTCCTGCCAGTCTAGGGCAAATGTGTGGGTTTGACTGTGGAATCAGAGACAGGGGCCCCACGTCCATCCCCCACGCCCCCAGGGAGGGCCTCACCATCTGCACAGCCTTGCTGAGGTCACAGTCAGCGAAGATGATGAGGGGTGACTTCCCGCCCAGCTCCAGGGAGACCTTCTTCACGTTACTCAGGGCGCAGCTGAAAGGGACAGAGGTTGGAGGGCTGGGTCCCTGGGAGAAGGGGACACAGGAGCTCCAGACGGAGGGGCTGAGGGAAGCTCCAAAGCATGCTGTACTCAAAGAGCAAGCGGAGGGTCAGAGGGGGCTTCCCCCACTCGCACACTCACCCACCCTCCCCGCTTCCCTCCCCTCTCCACACCACTGCCTTCCTCCTCTTCCACATGCAGGCCCACGCCCACCACAGGGCCTTTGCTCTCGCAGCCCCCTCGGGATCGTTCCTGCTTCAGATTTCCTTGAAGCTCGTTCCTCACTTCCTTATGGCCTCTGCTCTAACGTCCCCTTGCTGGGGTGCCCGCCCCCAGCTGCTCCCTATTAACTGCATGCTGCTGAGCTCCACGCCTGATATGCTTTGCTGTGTAGTGTATTTGTGTCTGGCCCTGCCCGTCAAAGCATAAGCCCCACCGTGGTGGACAGGCATTTGTCTGGTCATGCAGCTCTGTTCATCCAATGAATAAACCAAACACAGAACCAGCACCCCCCCCCCCCGGTGGGGTGGCGGCGGTGCCAACGGGGCCTTTGGCCTTTGGGTTTTTACTGACGGGTGCAAACAGAGAGAAGTTGGGGGTCCTGTGCATGCTGCATCAGTGGGCACAAAGTGTGCTTGCTGGTACTGTCCTCAAAGGGACACTCACAAGGGTGGGCCAGCGAAACACCAGCATGGCACCGGGTGGGAGTCGGGGGATCTCCTCACTCCGGCCGTACCCAGGAAGAAGGCTCCTATCTAAGGCACCAGCCCCAGGGGTCTTGGAAAGTCCCCAGAAGATGGCAGCCCCAGAGCCACAGGACACCCACCCAAGCCCTCCTGCCCTGGAGTCCTCAGAGCTGACATTTACTGAGCCCTCCCTCACCCTAGCACACACGTGCCTGCATGGGACCATGGCCTGCACAGCACTGGGGAGACCAGCCAGCTTTTCAGTAAGGGCAAGTACCCAAGCTGTTGTGACTACTTGCAGCTGGCCCCCGGTCCCCTCCCTCGTCCGTCCATCTGCACCCCATCCGTCAGTCCTGCACCACCACCAGCCTCCCTCTCTTCAATGCTGAGGCTTGCTCTGCTGCACTCAAAACGCATCAGAGTCACTCTGCCTGGCCCGCTCACACGCTGGGAGGTGAGCCTCCACGGACCCTAAGGATACACTCCACCAGCCACATTGGCTGTGGCTCCCGGCTGAGAAAAGGGTGCCACGTAGAGCTGCTGTGATCAGCATAAACATGGTGCCTGCTCGACAAAGGCACCAGGGCCCAGTATTCACCCTGACCCTCAGAGGGAGCGTGTGGGGTCAAGGCGTGAGAATTCCGTCTTGCGGGACAGAGAGGCCCCTGGAGAGCAGGCCAGGGCTGCAGAAGGGTCCCAGGGAACAAGAGCTCTGCTCTGCACTGGGGGCTACAATGAGGCCATGTTTTAACACAAGAGAAGCCTTTCTCCCTGTGGAATTGTCATGTCATCGCTGGACTGCTCTGGGAGACCCACCCATGAGTCTTAGAGCTCAGGCAGAGGTGGGTGGTCCCAGGGCCTGAGAGAAAGGCATCAATCACTATGCCCGACAGAACCCCAGCTCCACTCTACTCGTACCTATCACGCAGGGACAGATGCCTGAAACCCATCCCCAGAACTCACCCCGTGACAGTCTTGGGACAGCCAGGGCTACCGGGTACTGTGCTGCGGTCCAGCCCTGTCTATATCCCCAAGCCTGCTGGCTGCACAAACCGACACCGTGGAGCATGAAAACTACCTTCACTGAACTGGTGGGGAAACTGGGGCCCGCAAGGGTCTGGGCTCCGCCCCAGTCATATCATGAATTAGTAGCAGAGCCAGGAATAGAATCCCAGCTGGTTTGAGGCAAGTCCAAAGAATAAGAGATAAAGGATGTTCTAGAACAGGTCTCTCCAATGGAATAGAAAAAAGCCTCAAACACCAGCCGCAAATATAAGAGCAATTTTTTTTTTTACACTAACCACTGAAAAACTAAATTCCTTTTAGTTTTAAAAAGAAAAACTAAAAAGAAACCAATGAAATTACTTCTAATCTAATTTAACCTAATTCTTAAAAATTAATTATTTCAACCTGCCAACAATATAAAATTATTAATGAGCTACTTTGTGCACTAAGTTTTCAAGATCCAGTGGGTCTTCTACACTTGAAGCCCCTCTTAATTCAGAGCAGCTCTGTGCCAAGCGGCCATGCATGCTCAGGGCCCCAAATTGCATGGAGCCTCCAGCAGCCTTGGGGCCAAGCACGCTTGGGAGCAGCTGCGCCGGTCTCACCTGGGGCCGGTCAGAAACTCAGACACTGGGTCGGGAACTGCCTCACGCTCACACACAACACTGTCTACATCCCCACACTGTGACCAGCGCCCCCCCCCCACCTACCTTTTCATGATGTGTTTTCCCACCTCCGTGGAACCTGTGAACCCAATTTTCCGCACATCGGGATGGTCTGAGAGTCTCTGGCCAACCAGCGAGCCTGCAGGTTGGAGTGAGCCAGGGAGTCAGCGCAGCCAGCAGGTGCTGACGGGGAGGTACAAGCTTTGCCACCCCTCACACACACCTCGTTAGGCCAGACCTCTGGGCTGTACACCCCAAGCACTTAGAGCCCTCGGTGCCAGGGCTTACTGGGCCTCGCTCCCTGCTATGGGCAGAATCATAGGCCCTCAAAATTCCTTATGTTGAAGTCTTAACCTCTAGTACCTCAGAGCTGACCGTGTGTGGAGACACGGTCTTTAAAGAGGTGAGTATGTTCAAATAAGGCCATCTTCTCCTTTCTTCAATGCACACTGTCTCCTTAGCTTGATCTCACCCTGACTTGCGTCTTCAGACACAGCATCCTCTAAATCTGTCTGCGATCTGGACCCATTTATGATTCCTCTGACTGCTCGGCACCTCCACTTGGATGCCTTGCAGCCTCTCAAATACACCATGTTTGAAACTGAACTCTTACTCTTTCCCCAGACATGCTCTTCCTCCAGGTTCTCCATTTCAGTAAACAACCTCTCCTTGCAGCCAGTTGTTCAAGCCAAGAACTGGGAGTCGGTCTTCACACTTCCCTTCCCTACCTTATCAATTGCCTAATCCTGGGCTCCTCCACCCACTCAACCCCTCCATTTCCATGGCTCTCCTGCCTCTGAGCTTGTAAAACTGCACGTGCCCAGGTGCACCTGTGAAGATTCTGGCTCAGTGGGTTTGAAGTGGGACACTTTCATCCTCTATATAGAGTTAAGATACTAATTCCATTCCACCATTCTTGTTAAAAAGAGTATAACTGTTGGGGAAAGAAAGTATTTGCAAAAGACACATCTGATCGAGGACTGCTATCCAAAATATACAAAGATCTTGAGGCACCTGTGTGGCTCAGTTGGTTGAGTGTCTGATTTCAGCTCAGGTCATGATCTCACGGTTGGTGGGTTCGAGCCCCGCATCAGGCTCTGTGCTGACAGCTCAGGCCTGGAGCCTGCTTCAGATTCTGTGTCTCCCTCTCTCTCTGACCCTCCCCTGCTCACACTCTGTCTCTCTTTCTCTCTCAAAAATAAATAAACATTTATATATATATATATAATAAATAAAATAAAATAAATAAATGATATATATAAATAAAAATATATATACAAAGAAAATACACATACAAAAAAAGAAACACTATGAAAATAAACAATCCAATTGGAAAATTGTACAGGCAGTGTCTGTACACACACCTCATCAAGAAGATATACAGATGGCAGATAGTACCTTTAAAGATGCTCAGCATATGTCATTAGGGATTGCAAATTAAAACAATGAGACACCACTGTACAATTATTAGAATGGCCAAAATCCAATATACTGACAGCACCAAATGCTGGAGAAGATTTGGAGCAAGAGGAACACTCATTCTTGATGATAGGAATACAAAGTGGGTCAATTTCCTTGGAAGACAGTTGGTCATTTCTTACAAAAGTAAACCTAACCTTAGCATAAGATCCACCAGTCACACTCCTTGGTATTTACCAAATGAGTCGAAGACTTATGTCTACCAAAAACACTCCACATTGATGTTTATAGCAGCCTTATTCATAATTGCCAAAACATGGAAGAATCTGAGATGTCCTTCAGTGAGTGAATAGAGAAATAATCTGTGGCACATGCAGACAATGGAATATTATTCAGCACTAAGAAGAAATGAGCCGTGAAGCCATGAGAAGATGTGGAAGAAACTTAAACGCATATTACTAAGTGAAAGAAGCCAATCTGAAAAGACTATATATTATGTGAGTCCACTATATGATGTTCTGGAAAAGTCAAAGCTACGGAGATAGTAAAAGGTTGGCTGTTGCCAGGGGCTGGAGGGAGGGAGGCAAAGTGGGTGAAGCAAAGGGAAGTCATAGGGCAGTGACATTCTTCCATATGATACCACAATGGTGGAGGCATGTCATAACACATTAGTCATAGAATGTACAACACCAAGAGTGAATCCTAATGAAAATGAAAACTATGGACTTGGGGTGTTAATGATGTGTCTGTGTCAGTTTGTCAATTGTAACAAATATACCATTCTGGGGTACGATGTCAACAGTGAGGGAGACTGTATACAAGTGGGGATATGAGGTATATGGGAACTCTCAATACATTCCACTCAATTCTTCTGTAACCTTAAATTACTCTGAAAAATAAAGTGTAAATTAATAATAATAATAATAACAAAATCACTGTTTTAGGCTGTTCAAGAAACATTTACAAGAAGGTGACATATATTAGATCACAAAGAAATTCTCCATTTTGGGTGGCTCAGTCGATTAGGTGTCTGACTGGCCTAGGGTATGATCTCACAACTTGTTCTGAGCCCCACGTCGGGCTCTGTGCTGACAGCTCAGAGCCCGGAGCCTGCTTCAGATTCTGTTCTCTCTCAATCTCTCTCTCTCTCTCTCTCTCTCTCTCTCTCTCTCTCTCCCCCCTCCTCTGCTTGAGCTTTGACTTTCCCTCAAAAATAAATAAACATTTAAAAAAGACATTTAAAAAAAAGAGAAATTTTCCATTTTAAAGATTCTGTTTTTAAGTAATATCTACACCCAATGTGAGGCTTGAACTCACAACCCTGAGATCAAGAGTCATGGACTTCACTGACTGAGCCAGCCAGGTACCCTAGAAATTCTCCATTTTAGAAAGAAGAATGTTTACAGGCTATTATGGGTTGTATTGTGTCCTCCCCCATTCATATGCTGATATCCTCAGAATGAGACTTTCTTTGGGAATAGGGTTGTTGCAGATGTAATTAGTTAAAGTGACATCATTAGGGTTGGCCTTAATAAACCTTATATTAAACCAGTAAAGGGTTTATTAGGTCAAGGGCGTCCTTTGACACAATTTGAGAGGTGCCTGCATGGCTCAATTGTTGAGCATCTGACCCTTGGTTACCACTCAGGTCATGATCTTGTGGTCTGTGGGCTTGAGCCCCACATTGGGCTCTGTGATGACAGTGTGGAGTCTGCTTGGGATTCTCTCTCTCCTTCTGTCTCTGCCTCTCCCTTGCTGGCTCTCTCTCTCTCTCTTCTTCTGTCCACATAAATAAATAAACCTTAAAAAAGGTGGGAGGGGACATGAATACAGACACACATAGAGAAAAAGCACCATGTCAAGATCAAGGCAGAAATCAGTGATGCTTCTAAAGCTAGGAAAAGGCAAGGAAGCATCATCTCTAGAGCCATTAGAGGGAGCATGCCTTAGTGACACCTTCATCTCTGATTTCTAGTCTCCTTGATCAGTATGATTCTGTTGCTTAAGCTGTTGAGTTTGTGGTCCTTTGTTATGGCAGCACTAGCAAACAAATGCAAAGGCCATATTCTCTGATCATGACATAATAAAACTAGAAACATAGGAATAGAATTTTAGAAACAAAACAATTGGATTTTTTTTTTAAGTCTTACTGGGTCACAGAATATATCAAAACTACAAATATGAACACAATCAATTTAAAAGGCATGAGGCTGGAGTGAGCGCTGAAGACTAGTATGAGGAGCCCTGTTGACAATTCCCAGGAAAATAACCATAACTGGTGAAAATTATTGATAAAAAGCAACAACCATATACAATCTCCGAAAATTTTCCTAAACTCCCATTTAAGCAGATGAAGAAAGATTTATTCAAGTAAATCTCCTAAATCTCAGTAAGAACAGTGAGAGTCTGTGGTACTTGAGCCATGAACCATTCTCTCCCTCCAGGTGATGGAAACTACCCCAGGCAGGTGTGGTCAGGAAGGCAGGGTTCCTCTCCTCCAGCTCCCGGTCCAGAGATATGACATCTCACTGGGAGGGGCAGGGCATCAGCATTTTTCATCTCCTCCAACTCGGTGTTTTAACTTTTTTAAACATTTTTAAAATTTAGTTTTGTGAGACAGAGAGAGAGAGACAGAGACAGAGGCAGAGCATGAGCAGGGGAGGGGCAGAGAGAGAGGGAGACAGAACATGACAAAGGCCCCAGGCTCCGACCTCCGAGCTGTCAGCACAGAGCCCGACGTGGGACTCGAACCCAGAGACCGTGAGATCATGACCTGAACCGAAGTCGGACACTTAACCGACTGAGCCACCCAGGAGCCCCAACTCTGTGTTTTAGAAGCTAAATTCCTGCTGAGTATGCCTTCCACCTGGTCCCGACTCATAAAGTGAAGGCTCTTACCCGGGTGTGGCAGGCTGAAACTATTGCGACCTCATCTGCCTAGACCCAGCCCCCCTCACCTGTGCCAGATTTTGGCAGGGGGACAAGATTTCTGTAAGAACAGAGAGTTCCTAAGAGGCACTGACTTTATTTGAAACTGTGTGAAGTTCAATTTGAAGGGCATTCTCAAAAACAATGGAGATTTTGTGGATGAGCATTTAAGAGAAGGCTGATAGCTCTATGATAGCATTGAGGTAAACCACAGGTCAGTTAATTTACCAGAGAGAACCAGGGAGGGGCTCTCTGGGTAGAAACAAACCTCAAGAGCTGGCCTCAAAAACTACCCCGGTGGGGCGCCTGGGGGGCTTAGTCGGTTAAGCATCCGACTTTCGCTTAGGTCATGATCTCGCGGTTCGTGGGTTCGAGCCCCGCGTCGGGCTCTGTGTTGACTGCCAGCTCAGAGCCTGGAGCCTGTTTCAGAGTCTGTGACTCCCTCTCTCTCTGACCCTCCCCTGCTCACGCTGTCTCTCTCTCTTTCTCCTAGAAATAAATAAAACATTAAAAAAAAAAAAACAAACTACCCCTGCAAAGGGGTTCAAATTTAATTGGATTATATCATAAGGCAAATGAAATGCCGCAGCGTGTTGTTGAAAACAATAGAACAACCAGACTGTCCTTAGCGGAACTGAACTGCGAGTATGACACCAAAAGGGTAGATAGCCACAGAGTGACCAGGGAAAAAGAGTCATAGAGAGCCCTGCTAAAACTGCTATCATCCCATGCTCAAGGCTGTGCTCCCTGATGAGTGACATCCCTGGACACACACCACGGGGAAAACAGACTTCTCTCAAATAGCCTGGCCAAGTCACTGAAGACATAAACAAGCAAGTAACAAAAACAAACTCTGGAATTTGTACCCAGCATTGGTACAATATATTACCTAAATTTTCCAGCTTTTAACACAGCTATGACGCACGCAAAGAAATAGGAAAGTAGAACCCATCACAGGAAAGAAAAAAATAAGCAGGTGATATAAGCTGAGAGGGCCCAGATGTCATATTCAATAGGCAAAGATGTCAAAGCAGCCATTATATACACGTTCGAAGAACTAAAGGAAACCATGCATAAAGACCATACTTGTCTCATCAAGTAGACAATATCAAGAAAACAAACTTTTTAATAACCAGGTAGAAATTCTGGAATTAAAACGTACATTAACTGAAATTTTTTAAAAAATCAGTAGAGTGGCTCAACAGTAGGTTTGAACTGGCAGAAGAAAGAATCAGTGAGCTCTAAGATAGTTAGACATTATGTAAATTAAAAAAAACAGAAAAATAATTTCTTTAAATGAAAAGGGCCTCAGAAAGGAGTGGATTACCATCAAACACACCAACATACGCATAATGGGAGTTCCAGAAAGCGAGGAATAAAGAAGGGAGCAGAGAAAAATGTTAGAATAATGGCTGAAAACTTCCCAAATTTGATGTAAAACATTAATCCAAATATCCATGAAGCTCAATGAATTTCATGTAAAATAACCATAAAGAGATGCACTCTCAAACACATCTTAGTAAAAAATGGTGAAAAACAAATAGAAAAGAAAATTTTGGAAGCAGCCAGAGAAAAATGACTAATTGTATGTAAAGGAACCCCATTAAGATTAACAGAAACATCTGATTGTTCATCAGAAACAATAGAGGCCAGAAGGTATTGGGATGATACATTCCAAACACTGAAAGAACAAAACTGGCAATCAAGAATCTTATATTTAGCAAAGTTATCTTTCAAAAAATAAAAGCAAAAAATAAAGGCATTTCCAGATAAACAAAAACTTAGTGAATTTGTGGCTAGCAGACCCACCTTATGAGCAATACTGAAGGAAGTTCTTCAGGCTGAAAACAAGTGACTCAGACAGTAACTTGAATCCATCAGAGAGCATCAGGAAAGGTAATTATATAATTATAAAAGACAGCTTAAATGCATATTTTTTTCCTTTTCTTTACTGATTTAAAAAGAAATGTGTATATAATTGTATTGTTGCATTTACATCAGATATAAATGAAAGATATTTGACAATAATAGCAGAGAGGAGGTAGGTGGGAACAAAACTGAAATGCAGTAAGGAAGTGATACCAGAGTAACTCAACAACAGGAACAAACGAAAGAGCCAGAAATGTAAATAAGGTTAATATAGCAAACTGTGTAATTATATAGTTGCTCCCCTTTCTCTTTAACTTCTCTCAGAGACATAAAATTATATAAAGTTATAGCAGTGTACTATTGGGTTTGTAACATATATTAATATGATGGGGGCACAAAGATATGTGATATAACAGCACAGAGGTCATAGAGCTATGTAGGAATAGTCTTTGTATATTTCCCAGGAATTAAATTAGCATAAATCTGAAGTATTTTCTGATAAATTCGGAAATAATGGTAAATCCTAGAGAAACCACTAGGAAAATAATGAAAAATTCTATTGTGAAAAAAATCATTAAAAGAATTAAAATGTTACACTGGACAATATTCATTAATGTAAAGAAAGCTATAAAAGAGAAATAGAAACAGAAGACAGGAGACGCAGAAAGCAAAAAGTAGAATGGCAGACATAAATCCACTCTTTCAATAATCACAGTACACGTGAACGGATTAAACAGTCCAGTCAGAAAGGCAGAGACTGTCACACTGGATCAAAACAAGATCCACGCACATGCTATTCAAGGAGGCGTCAGATATAAATATGTTGCAAGTAAAGGGATGACAAAGCTACATCATGCACACAAAAACCATATGAAAGCTAGAGTAGTTATGCTAGTATCAGATGAAGTAGCTTTAAGACAAAAAACTATTAGGGAAATTAACAGGGACATTTATAATAATGAAAATATTAGTAAAAAAGTATGAGGTGTCACCAAAGTTCTCTTGAAATGCTTTCCTTTAAATGACAAAAAAATATAAATGAATTACACTTTCAATTCAAAAAGTTGCCAAAAAAGCACACAGGAGAACACAGAAGGAAATAAAAATGATAAAAGCAAAAAAAAAAAAAAAAATCACAGGACAGGATAGCAATGGGATGGGAAACATTTGAGAACTATTTTGTTTTGTTTTGTTTTTTGAGTGGGGTACAGGGACAAACAAGAGCTTTTCACAAATTTCATCAATTTTAAAAGAGAAAGAAAACACGAAAAGTATAAGGGGTTATTATAACAACCAAAGGGAGAATCAAAAAAGGAATTCATTCTAAGAAATTATTAATACAACTCTATGCCAATGTATTTTAAATGTGTGCAAGAACAGACATTTCCAATAAACTAGACCACTAACGACAGAAGAAACTAAAGAAGCAACACATGTAATATCTTCCTTAATGCTCTAAGCCTAGAATGTTCTACAGACAAAGTCTCTTAGGCATAATAATTCCCAAGTTATGTAATTTATTCCAGAGCATGTACATGTACACACACAAAATGGAAAACATTTGGGGAAACATTTGAAAGCTAGAACCCTTCCAGGTCGGGGTCTGTATCTCCCCAAGAGGCTGGCCACCCCCACTGGACCGCTGGACCCCCCATCACTCTGCCCCACTAGAGCACGTCATGCAGCAAGCCCTGTTCTGACCAAGTGCATCTCTGACTCCCTGGAGCCCTGGCGCCCCCAGGTGCCCCTGTCCACATCTCTTACCAGATCCGGGGAGGATGTTGACCACGCCCTTGGGAATGCCAGCCTTCAAGGTCAACTCCGCAAACTTCAAGGCTGTGAGTGGAGTCACCTGGGGAGGCAGGGAAGAAGACTGTTGCAGCCGAGGCAGCGAGCAGGGAGAAGCAGTCATGGCAGGAGGACCCCCCAGGGCAAGCCCATCACAGTGGGTACTGCCAACCAGCCAGCTTCCCCCACAGCTCCAGGTGAAAGCAGGGAGTGAGGCCTGCTACCTCCTGTGTCTTCTAGTGCCTTCTCATGGCAGGCTCCAGCCTTGGGGCCAGGCCTGGCCCCTTCCTGAACATTCACACCTTCTCCACTCGGGGAGTGCAGAGTCCCCAGACTGCCGGGAAGCACCTCAGTGCCAGGCAGTGCCCAGAGCTCCGTGGTGTGTGCGAGATTCTAATCACTGCTTCATGGCTGGAGGCCATTCCCCTCCCTTGGCCTGCTAGCAGTAATTCCTCTTGTGACCCAGGTAGTTTGCCTTGTAAAGGTTGGGTTGTGCCCTGCCCACCACCTGGCCTTAGGCTGAGCCGCCACGTCTGTGGGGTGCTGGCCCTGGGAGGGCACAGGCCTGCTAGCGGGTCTTCCGGGGACAATTGCCTGGACCTGTGTGCAGCAACCCCCAGTAACGCGGGAGGTTATGAGCCATCTCACAGAGTTGTTGCGACGCTCAAGTGAGCAAAGGAATGGAAAATTATAATGTTAATGGAATTTGTTATGCGCTAAAATGCTGCCTCGGGGTGAATACTGTAAATGCTAGCTGCCGCTATTGTTGGGTTTTAAATTATAACTTTCTGGGAGCCAAGTTGCCCCAAAGCAGCCGGGAGAGCAAGAGACCTCCGGGCCACGCTGTCCAGAGCCACGTGATGGAGCATCACGGGTCCTAACACCCCTGGGGCAGGCAGGGGACAGGCTGTTACTTCCAATATACAGGTGAGGAAGCTGAGGCTCGTGCAGGTGGTGTCCACATCCCCAGGGGGACCCGCTCGGGCCCTTCCGCCTTCCTCCCTTGTGGGGGAGCCAGTCCGGGTGGGCACAGGGGCTAACGGGCCACCTGTGTCCTCCTCTGCAGCCCATAGGCCACCCCCGGAACACACCCAGACCCACCTGGGCAGGCTTGATCACCACTGTGTTGCCAGCAGCCAGGCAGGCAGCCGTCTTCCAGGAGAGCATCATCAGGGGGTAGTTCCAGGGGATGACGATGCCACACACCCTATTGTACAAAAGTGGGTCTTTGTCTCTCCGCCCGACCTTGGGTGCCGGACTGCACCTGCCAACTGCTTCTCTCCTCGAGCCTGACACCCATTACACTCCAGGTGTCCTGATATGGTGCCCAAGGTCCCCCTGAGAGAGCTCACCCCTGCCCTTCCAGTCCCTGATGGGGCAGTATGTCCGGCGTGGTGGTGGCCTCTCTTCCTGGCAGGGAACACGGATTCTCGTGTGCTGTCTAAGGAGAGTCCAGTAGGACACGACACCAGGCAGTGCGGGAGCTGACAGCAGGCATGGCCTGGGAGAAGGCCAGCGATCGCCCAGGTGGGCTGAGAGAGTATGCGAGAGGGTTGGGATCACATGGGTGGGCCTGGAGGAAGTCGGGGAGGGTCCTCTTGGGTGTGAGGCCAGGGGGCAGCCCCGCGGAGAGAAGGAAGCAGTCGGCTGGGGAGGCCTAGTAAGGCTTGTCTGCTTTGCATTAAGAGATGGTACCCAGCGTCGCTGCCCCTTGGTCCCAGAGAAAGCTTCTGGCCGAGCAGTGTCTCCGTCAAAGGGAGGCCCCCGTGGTCCCTGAGGGCCGAATGATGACACGTGTGGTCCCAGCTGACTCCTGTGAAACACAGGGTGCTGTCTTCGTTGGTGTTGGACGGTTAAGGAGCCAGGCCACACAGAGCACCGCACAGGCTACCTAGCTTGTTTTCTTCATCATATTAATGATCATCATCACCACAGATTGTTTCCCCAAAAGAGGGCTTCTTGGCAGAACCCAGCCAGGCAGGGGGAAGAGCATGGGTAAAGACTGAAGGCAGGACGGGGCGCCTGGGTGGCTTAATCGGTTAAGCGTCCGACTTTCGCTTGGGTCATGATCCCGCGGTTCGTGGGTTCGAGCCCCGCGCCGGGCTCTGTGCTGACTGCCAGCTCGGAGCCTGGAGCCTGTTTCGGTCTGTGACTCCCTCTCTCTCTGACCCTCCCCTGCTCACGCTGTTTCTATCTCTCCTAGAAATAAATAAAACATTAAAAAAAAAAAAAAAAAAAGACCGAAGGCAGGACAATCTGGGAGCCAGCACAGCATCCTGGGAGCGATAGGCTGCACTCAGGGGTTGGAAGAGCCACTCCCCACCCCATGAACACCCAGCTCACCCAGCAGACCAAGCAGGATGAGAATGCGGAGGGAGCACGG